AAACACAGAGGATTCCCTCTAGGCAAAACTTTAAAGTTACAAAAAAAAAAAAAAAAAAAAAAAAAGAAAAAAAAAAAAAAAAAAAAAAAAAAAAAAAGCAGGAATAAACCTCCCTCTTAACCTAGGGAAAATTCACAAGCTAAAACAAAAGATAATCTAACACATTTCCTTGCTATTACTTACTATTTCTGTAATATTAGATGTATCATTTCAGAAGGAGCTGGATTACTTGTTTGATCTCTCTCTTTGTCTCAGAGAGAACAACAACACAGAACACAAAGCAAAAACCTTCCCCCACAGATCTGAAAGTATCTTCTCCCCTTATTGGTCCTTTTGGTCAGGTGCCAACCAGGTTATTTGAGCTTCTTAACCCTTTACAGGTTAAGGAGGGATTTTATGCTACCCTTAGCTGTATATTCATGACAACATGAGTAGTCCCAAAATCAACAGGATAGTTTGCAAGTGTCCCTGTTTGCAGGAGCAAGAACTAAGTATTCTATTGCGTGCAAACTAATTGCCAAGCTGCCTAGCTGATGATTGCTTCTCTGATTCATAAAGACCAAGGGCCAGATTGAAACACAGGCCCCCCCACTGGGGAAACGCAGAGCTGCCTTGTTGCAGGGCACCCTGAAAGAAGCATTGTGGCTCCTTGAAGCAAAATACCACCCAAAGTTCCCCATGAAAAGGAGTATCTAGCATTCACTCCCCCCTGCAGGAGCCTGCAGGTCATGTGCCTTGTTCTTCCATGCATTGCCAGTCAGCCCTGCTCGCTGAGGCAGGGGCTCAGGCTCTCTCTTTCCCCCATCCCTTTGTATCCTGCATCTGGAAGCAATGAGTAATTCTAGAATGTATAGCACATTCACCTGAGTCTGTGAACAAAAGGGCCCAGTTCGATTTGTGAGGTCATATTGTTCATAAGCATTGAGGTGACTGCCATGTGTTCAGTGCTTTTACTTTATGAAGATCTTAAAACATTGCTCATTAGATCTGATGAAATATAAAATTGTTCTTGACTGTGTCTTGGAGAATAAGGCTCTTATCGTAAACTGCAAAACAAACTCCAGTGGGCTATGGCTGTGTAAATAATCTGATTGCTTTGTGTAGGTCATATAGGAGGCAGTTGTCAGATAATGAAATCAACATCTACCTAAATTGTTTTAGCTGAAAATCTTTGTTTATCATTTTTAACATCCTGGCAGCTACAAGGCTAGTCTTGCTTTGAGTTATATTAGTGTTTTTCGTCTCTATGTCCTAAAATTGCTACTTGCTTACAGATGCAAATTACAAAGGAGTATAACAAGTAGCATGTTGCTCAAATTTCTGTTTCGTTGTAAATGAGAAAACCACAGGGGAAAAAACTCATAGATTGCTGCTATTATGCTACAGCATAATTCAATTCAGTTTAGTCTCGTATTACTTTGTCTGAAAATTAGATTAACTGCTACAATCCTGAAGTCAGATTTTAGAGATAACTTCCATGAATTCCTTCCATATTCTTCCATCAGGGGGATGGGCTTGCACCCTTTACCCACCCATGGAAGAATCAATGGAATCCGATCCATAGTTGTCCCCAGATCTGCTATGAGGTCCTGTTGAGGCTCCACACTAGAGGGGCTGTTTGCAGCTCCTCTCACCAATCTCTGCTGGCAAGACAGCTTTATTCCAGCTTCATTACAAGGGCTTCTTCTGCCAGCACTTGCCTCCCAGGACCTCCTATGAAGGGGGATTTCACTGATTGGAGGGGACTGTGGAAAGTCTTGTGCTGTCTTTTAGGTGGAATTCCCATTATGTGCTGAAAATTGTACAGCCCCACCCTCTTGACCCCAGCCTGCACTCTTCCTTCCCAGACTTTTTGTGGTACCCCAAATGGGCAGGAAAGGATGAGAAGGAGGTGGGGCCATGGCTTACCCTGACACCTTCCCATATACCTAGACAATTGGCCTCTGGGACTGGATGGCCCTGATGTGGAGGTGAGGGAGGAAGTAGACTGTAACCTCTATTTGCCTGGGACTCTCCTGGAGGCAGAATTCATCCCCGAACTCATCCATGGTTGGCATTGGCTCCATGCCAACTTTTACTCTAGAAAGTGTGTCATTTGCACATACTAGTGGTGTGGCAAAAACAATGAAGCAAGTTTGGGTTTTCTTCTATTTCTCAAATTATTTTCACAGGTAAACCACTTGGGTGCGTTGATTTTAGTTAGGATGTAATTGTTTTAAGAGAAAGCCGTGATAAATGATTGTGGTTCCATTAAGCTGCCAGCTCTATTCCTACGTCGTTTGCTACAGTTAAAGGTCTCTTGTTCCTAAAACAACTGTTTCAATTTATGGTCCATTCATAAGTAAAAGGCTTTTGGGCCATAGCCTGTGTTCAGGCTGGTGTAAATCTGCTGAACGCAGTGGAGTTACATAGTGGCACATGCAGACTAGTGGAGTGCTAATGCAGGAGAATTATGGAACATCAAACTGTGGGCCAAACTCACCGCTGAGATACCCACAATGCAACTGTACCGATTCAATATGGTGGCCTAGGTGTGAGCCAGGACAAAATTTTATCATTTATGAAAATAATTTTTCAGATTTGATTAGAAAATACATGTATTGCTAGGACACAAAACCCATCCATCAGTAAAGCTAGTGTAATAAGCATAAGGCATGAGGATGTATATTGGATCATTCATAAGAATTAAACAGACTCTTTCTTCTTTGGTAAAAATAATCTTCATCAAGATTAAAAGCTGCATTCATTATGTATCTTGTAGGTCCCCTCTGAAGAATCCGGAACCAGACCTTTGACCTTCACATTTGTTCCATCTATCGGACGACTTCCAACTCACTTTCAGGTTGTAGATGTCTGTAAACTCCTGGTCAGAACTTCAGAGGAGCCAAACAATGAAAGCAGTCAAGAAATTATAAATAGGGTAGGATTTTATATTGACATAGTTTTACATTTACTTGAAAGGTATGGTAAAGTCTTCCTGACCATCACTGAACAAGCTTATGTTCCTCCTTAACCTTTTCCCTGTTGGAGTTTGATTGTAAATTCCAGCACCATCAGAGAAGCAGCCATGCAATATACATAGACACATGGGAGTTGCTATAATGGAGCAGACTGATGGTCTGCCTAATAAGGTATTTTGCCTTTGGCAGAGTTTATACCTGAAGTAAACCACTCCCCATCTCCATAATGTGTTCTGCCAATTATGTAATGATATATCATGATGATGTGATGAGGGTGGAAAGGGGACATGAATAGGTACATTTGAATTATCATAGTGGAATACACCAATAGTAAGTCACAGAATCCTGATTTCAGCAATGGCCACCATTGGATGCTCCATATGAAGATGCCAGTTCCCATAATTATTCTAATTCTGCAAAAATACTGCAGTAAAATTTATGTTTCTTCTGTTTTGAAACTTCCTATGAGTCTGAGATGGGTGCTCTACACTTGAAATGGGGAGTACCACAGGAAGCAGGTATCCTTTGCTAACTGGGACAGTCTTTGAAGTGCAACTGCTGAACAGCATAGAGGACATGTCTTACTGACTTCAGCTGGTGATCATCTTATCTCCTGCAGACCAATATCCTGTGTAACTTTCGAATTTAGCTAGTATAACTATAAATGTTCCTCTTGATCATATATAAATAATTTAAAAAAATGCTGCTAAACCATTTGCCTCAGTGATTTCCCATGCTAGTGAATTCCCTAGGCTCACATTAATGCTGTATAGGGAAATATTTCCTTTGCTTTTCATTTATTCTTGTGTTATTTGAAAGCATAAATATGATCCTCTGATTAATTTCCACACTCCTTTTGGTCTTGGCCCTTCAAGTCCTTGTATGCTACGTAGCTGGGAATGCAATTTGGTGGCACTCCAGTTTAAGTAAACATAAGCTACACATGGGGCAAGTATGGAAGGCTCAAGCACTTTGAACATCCTCTCCCCAGGGCACAGCATTAAAAAAACGGTTGAATGTGGGCAGAGAAGGAGCATGTCTGAGGAGGTTGAGTTTAAATGTAATCCTCATGTTGCAAATACACCTCTACCCCTATATAACGCTGTCCTCGGGAGCCAAAAAATCTTACCGCGTTATAGGTGAAACTGCGTTATATCGAACTTGCTTTGATCGGCCAGAGTGCGCAGCCCCGCCCCCCCGGGAGCGCTGCTTTACCACATTGTATCCGAATTCGTGTTATATTGGGTCACGTTATATCGGGGTAGAGGTGTAGTCACTTAGTTACTTGCTCCTTCCTTTGACTGTGTAGCTGCTACTAGCAGCAGGAGTGCCAGAAACTCCCTAGAAGTATGTGTGTGGGGCACTGGCACCCGAACCATGCCCCCATACATGCTCCGCCCCTTCTCCCGCGGCCCCACCATCATCTCACTTGTTCACCCATGGCCCTGACCTTGCTCCACCCCTTTCTCCCAAGGTCCTTGCTCTGCCTCTTCCCCTGAGGCTCCCACTTTTAAAAGTGATGGGACTATGGCCCCATGACCTCTCCAGCCCCCACCCCCCTGTTTCAGCACCCCTGACTAGCAGTGCTCTCAGTATGCAGAATCAGGTTTCCCTGAGTTCCGTGTCCATCCATCACATTTCAATATGCTCTAATACAGGCAGCACTCACGTATGCTGAGCAGCATTAGGACCTTCATATTTTCCTTTCCAAACTGAGCATGGCCAAGTCACCCGAGCTCATATTTAGATATCTAAATAAGTGGTCTGATTTTCGAAAGAACTTATTTCCCTGTAACTCCCATTGCAACCAATGGGAATCTAATTCTGTAGCATGCCCCTTGCAGAGCATGCATATGTAAGCCCTATTGGTTATTTATTTCATACATCTATTCCTCTGCCTGATCCCTTCTTCTAGGGAAACAAAATACATCAATAGTTCAAATATTGGGTGACTCAGCAATGCATAAGACATATGCAAAGGATAACACTACTGCTGCACTTGCCGGGTTAAATACTAGAAACTGAAAAAACAGAATATTATCTGCTGTAAAAAGAACAATTGTGCTTTGTGCTAAAATGCTTAACCTTAAATGTACAATAAAGTGCCTTGACCTCAGATTCTTTGTTTCCTCTTTCCAAAGAATGCCCTGGATTCATGTCCTTTGTTCCTTTGTTGCTATGTATGGGTTTTGCCCCAGATTTCTCTGTCAGATAGTTGTGAGCAGTATTGTCTGCTCTTGTGGATCCCACAGTCAGAATTCCATCCCCATCATGTCTGCTTTAGGCTGGCCTCACAGCTCATTCTGCTTGACTTCCCTCCCAATTGCAATGTTATTCCCAACATCAAATCCAATCTATCGTTTTGACTTGAGTCTCCCATTTCAGTGTTATGTAGCTAGAAAGGCGACAAGTGTCTCCCATTATAACAGACTTAATGTATGGGCCAGTGTGTTGGTGGGAGAGAAGGTGCTGGGAGTGGGAAAGCATGCTAATGGAACAATAGAACAGCCAACTTCTGTCTCTCGGACACACCCAGCCTAGGCTGGAGCCTGAGATCTTGGCTTATCTTCTGGGAGATTGGTAGCATAGTGCCAGCTAGTGTTGCAAGCTAAATTAGAATTTATTTTAATGTGTTTTGCAGTCTACTGTAGTCTCTGATGACCTGACCTTAAAAAGTGGAATCAGGCAAGACAGTGAATCCACCTATCACGCAGGCACCAGCCAAAAGATTTTCCGGCCAAAAGGGTGTAAGACGAGCAAAGGAGAAATGCAAGAGAGTGACCTTTTCAAGGCTGAGTTTGTCTTTATTACGGACTCTGATGAAGGAGATGAAGAGACCATTTCCAGAAACAATGTTCAACAGCCTTCTGTAGGTCATGGCACTGGGCATGCGAGATGCCAGTTATTGGCTACCTCCCACATTTCTTCTGGTGGTGAGTCAAGCAAACCTCATGGTGACCTGAATGTTCCTGAGACACAATGTGCTGTGCTGTCGCACAGTGCTACCCGTTCCCCAAAACAACACCAGGTATGTTATTATTTTAACTCTCCTGTGTGGGTGGGGATGTGCATGTCAACTTTTACTTGCCATCTCTTTTGGGATGTGGTCATCCAATTCAGCTCGGGATGGATGTCGATTACTGGCTGCTTTTTGTGGATTATTAGTAACTTCTCTCTTTTGCCACGGTCAATAGTTCTACATTTCTAGCTAAAAGTGGGTATGTGTCTCACAACAGAGAGTATGTATAAAGGGAGCTGTTAGGAGGGGTGGAGGTGAGTAGCTGGTGCAGATCTGTTAATCTTTTTCTTCTTGCCTCTCTGATCTACTCGTCATAACACAATCTAAAGGTGTAGGACTAGATTCTCAGCTTGTGAAAACTGGCATAGCTCCATTGAAATCAATGGATCTTGGAGCTAAACTGATTTACCGCTGAGGATCTGGTTTGTGAATTTTCCCTTCTTTGAACCTTATGCAGTCATTTACGTCTGTGAAAAGAGGGTGTAAAATGCTTCTGTTCTATTTTACTGTCATTTTTCATGGTCTTTTCACGGGTGTAAATGGCAACCCAAGGTGCAAGGCCCATTCTGTGGGCTTATCTTCGCTGCAACAGTTAGTACACTTGAGTCACTGCACTTAACTAACTCAAGTGAGAGTGAGCCCACTTCAAAATCACACTTGCAGTTACAAATAGTGATTGGATTAGCAGCAGAGAGTGACTGCTTTAGCAGAATGATTAGACTGGATTAGTTGATGATCAGTTGCTGTAACTTGAGCTGCAACACACCCTCCTCCCGCTCCCCTCCCCACCCCAACTGGCCAGGGAGTTTGAGTTCAAAGCACCACTTAACTCAAGCTACAGATTGTTTTGTGTGGATGGGAGTCGAGTTAAGGGTAACCCTGGAGTTATAATTCAAGCTATCTGTGCTGTGAAGACACACCCTCTGTTATCCTATACATGGCACATGATTTTATATCAGGCAAAATTTAGGACTCTAAAGAAAATATTAACAAATGGTGCTCAGAGTTTATTTTATTTGGAAATGGATGAATTTAAACCAGAGGGTAAATAAATTGTGACTCCATTCAGAAACTTGACTTCTGATGTTTCTGGAAGGAGCACAGATAGTCTCCAGGGAATTGTAGATGGGGAAATAATTTTCTTCTTTTTGAACATAATTGGCCAGATCCTCAATTGGTGTAAATTGATATAAATCCCTTCACTTCAATAGAACTATGCTAGTTCGAAAATCCAGTCCTTCAGTGTTTTTAAAGAGAAAATAAGACCTGTTGCTTTCTCTGTCTAACAAAATGAATAATTCTTGATGTCCAAGGCTCAACTCCTGATTTCCTTATTCAGTTTTTATTCAAGTTCCCAGTGATCTCAATGTTCTCATGTGACTTTGTGACTGAGTAAAACTGAACAAGAAAGGACCTTAGGATATGACCTCCTAACATGAGGAATTATTCATTTGGATGTGCTCAGTCCCAGTGAAGTCAATGGAAGTATGATGGGATATACAAACCCCACACTGGGCAGCACAGGGCTAAGGAGCTAATGTGGGCTTAGGCAGGTCTGCCCCCACCACATCTGTGAGAGATGTCAGTATTGGAGAGAGGAGCTTAGAAGGGAGAAGCCCAGCTCAGCTGGTGGCACATCAGTCAGGAGAGCAGGTCTCAGTCCTCAGGTCCTGGAGCAAAGACTGACTAAAAGCAAGAAGTCCTCAGCTGATCACTGCCTGGAGACCCCTTCCTGAAAGAAGGAAGAAAGCACAGATCTGTTGTGGATCCACCAGGGATGCGACTATTGTTTTATACTACTGGTGACCTTCGTTTGGCCCACAGCTTTGCAGAAGCATTCTGGATGAGAGCTTTACCACATCTGTGGGATGACTTGTTGGTGTGGGTTTGTTGACAACCACCAGGAGGGTGGACTATCTGGGGCTCAGTCTGAGGACACAGCCTCGTGGACTGACATACAGGAATACCTGGACACTGCAGAGCAGAGGCCTGGGTGAATGCTGGGGCCTGGTCCAGGGTCTAGGGGGTGCCCTGGGATAGGAACCCTGGTGACAGGAAGTTTTGCCTGAGTAAGAAACAAAAGATTTGGTCCTTGATAAGGCAGCTTACAAGAAATGAAAGATCTAGAAAATGAAAATTTAATTGTGGTACTTTGAGTCCACACAGATCATGTAAGGGTTAGTTAGGAATTTTCTCCAATAGCTGCTATCAAATATATGGCAAAGTTTTTATAAGGGAAACAGAGAGTAATATACATGCCATAGTTTCTTAATGAGTTTTTGATGGTCTGACAAGCAATAGGAGACTTGATTGGCAGTGCATTAAAAAAAAAAGTAACCTCTGGCCTTCTATGCAGAGTTTGGAAGAATTCAAATAAAGTCTGTTCAACTGTATTAATCCTATAACTAAGTTTATATAGGGTAAATGTGTATTATGCCTGATATGTATGCCTCAAGTGTATACCTTCCTAGGTCATTGTTCTAAAGACACTTGGCTGACAGATCAACAACTTTATGTACTCGTTCCATCTTCTTTATTTTCTAAATAATATCTGTTACCCTGTATGTGAAAAATAGAATACATTTTGACTAAGCTGCTTTTTTCTGGTGTTCAAAGTCTATCTCTACTGAGCCCCTCTCAATATTTCTATGGTAACCCTAAAACAAAAGGAAATTATGGAAATTTAAAATGGCTACATTACTTATACCGGGTGTGGTGGCACGTGCCTGTAATCCCAGCTACTTGGGAGGCTAAGGCTGGCCGATCACTTGAGCTCAGGGGTTCTGGGCTGCAGTGTGCTATGCCGATCGGGTGTCCGGTGCCACTCACAGCTTGGCCAGTGGGTGGCTGAAGGACTGGCTAACAACATGAACGATGCGCTGTGATCAGCACTCTCTTTGGGAGGACTGATCAGACAAGGTGATATTACTCATCTGCTAGTAAATTTACCGGTATTATTCACAGAGTCTTCTCTTACATAGGAGTCTACATTGTAAAAGGATCTTGGTTACAAAATCAACATAATGGTCAACTTTGGTGATTGTACATATACTACAACATTTGTTTAAAAGAATTATTAACCTCTTCATTTCCTGTTGGTGGGGGAAGGAGAACAATGACTGACACTGAAGTAAATAGATGTTCCAACCACCCTTGGAGGCTTAACTTGCTTGACCGTTGCTGCAAAAAAATTTATGTCATATTCAAAGTATGAAAAGCCGCTCAGTATTTCAAATTTACTAACTTATTAGTTATCACTTCTTCTGCTCCCCTCACTTCTTGTAAGGCAGCAGTGTTTGTTGAAGTAGCCGGGAATCATGTAGCAGGCAGTGATCATAAAGCAGCCAGTTCTCTCCCTTTTCTCTTCCATAATGCTCATGCTCCACCCACATGACATAATGGAGCACCAGTTGCCCCAGAAGCAAGAAGCCACTAGATCAACTCATGTGTTAATGAATTACTAACAGATCAAATGTTTAGTGAATAGGGAGGAGCAAACAAATAATGTTCCATGTTAAAACATGGCAGATGTGAGTTTAGATTCAGCTGATAAACGATGGCAGATGCACATAAGGCCGCAGGGTGGCCCATCCTTTGTAGTTGTGTAGGAGGGCATGGAGAGGACATTCCCTCATTTTCCTCCTTGTGCCCCTTGCCAACCCAGACACCTTGTGACTGGATGGTATAGGTTCTCTCCAACTCCTTCTGCATCTGCCAGTGAAGCTGGCCATCCATAGATGGGAGTGAATGGTGCACCCACTCTTTGTATAGGCTCTCGCTTTAGGCTGTAATCTAGCCCTTATTAGACACAATAAACTACAATAATCTGTAGTTTATCAGCATTCTGGATTCTGCTCTCATGTATCTTTGAGAGTCTGCTTTTCATATTGGCTCCCACTTCATAGACACAATGAAATTTACAAGAACACTCACTTTTTAAAGGAAATGTAAGAGTTTAATATCAGATCTCTGTGTTTCTTTGGGTTACCTACATGGAAATCCTAGGTTATAAAGCAGGATGTCCCAGATGTTCTTTTTCTGACCCTATTATGATCGGAGATTCCATGAAATAGCTAATAGGAAAGTTATCCATTAAAACTTTAAAAACTTATTAACCTTTTGATGAATCCAGCCCAGTGTTTCTTGTCCTTACTGATCATAAGCAGAAGTAGTAGAAGAAATACAGTCTGTTTACATACCTCTTACATGCCCCACACTGTATAAGCACCTCACAGAAACAAACACCTAAAATAAAAGACTAATTCTTATTATGGCATTGGATTTCAGGTTTGGTAGTCTCGCCAATAGTTTTGCAAGGTCATAGTTTGTCTGGTGCAATCTTTCTTTAAAGATGTATGTGTGTATATATATATAAAATATAATATATATGTATATACATGTATATACCATATATATGTGTAGGTGTGTGTATTTAAAACTCAGTTATAAACATAATTATGAGAAACCTAAAAAACAAGGTGCCCATCAAAGAGTTCAGTGTTGCTTCAGCTAGACTGTAAGACCCTTGAAGTAGGGGACATACTGTTTTATGTTTGTAAACTGCCAAGTCCATTGCTCAATAGATAAAAATAGTAAGAAGCAAACAGAATGCCAGATAAAAAGAAGAACAGGAGTACTTGTGGCACCTTAGAGACTAACAAATTTATTAGAGCATAAGCTTTCGTGGACTACAGCCCACTTCTTCGAATGCCAGATGACATTCTTCCCTCTAAACTGCCACTGAACTAATTCCTTATCCTGGTGATAGCACAGTGCTGCAGGAGGTGCTGGTTTTAGCATGAGACATTAAAAATTAGGACCTAACCACTTCTAGCATCTGATTCTTGTTTATACAAAGGCACTTTCTACAGCTCTGGCACTGTAGAGAGGCACTGAAGTGGGAGCAAATTACATCTACCCCCACTTTCAGGCCAGTGGTGAAAAGAGGCTATAAAAAAATGGGAATCAGGCTCCTAATCTTTAAATGTCCAAATATACTTTCTGTAAGACAGCAGTTCTCCACCAGGGGTCCAGGGCCGCAAGCAGGTTTCAGGGGGTTTGCAAGCAGGGCTGGTGTTAGACTTGCTGGGGTCCAGGGCAGAAAGCCAAAGCCGGGAGGTGCGGTGCTAAAGCCTGGGGGCCCAAGCCCTGCCACCTGGGGGTGAAGCCAAAGCCTGAGCAACTTAGCTTAATGGGGCCCCCTGTGGCATGGGACCTCAAGTAATTTCCCTGCTTGCGACACTCCCCCAGCCCCCCAATGCTAGCCCTGGCTTTTATATGCATTAAAAGAGTTGTAGCACAGCTGGGCTGTGGAATTTTTATAGCATGGTGGGGGGGGGAAGAGGGCTCAGAAAGAAAAAGGTTGAGAACCCCTGCTGTAAGCAATAGGGTCTTAGCCCTAGCGTCCTGAGCAAATTCCATTTCCCTGCAGGTACTTGTATTCTCTCGTACTATGGTTCCTCCACAGACTCTGCTCTTCCTTGCAATCCTTATGTGTTGGTTGGCAGCTGATGCAGTCAACCTGAGATGAAGCTGCATTTCAGCAGAGTGTGACTTGATCTATATACACATGCAGTGGTCACCTTTTAAAAGGTGAACAATTGTGACCACACACTGTCACAGTTTCTCCCTATACTTAACACAGGAAATACAATAATTGTTAGAAATTGCTGACTTGGTTTTAACCATTATGTTTTCATTTAATTCTTTTCTGCAATAACAATAGAAACTAGAAATGGTGCTCACTGTAGATCAAGGGCCTAGTCTCACTCCTGTGGAAGCTAGTGGCAGTTGTTCCATTGACTTCAGTGGAAGCAAGATCAGGCCGGAAGTTTTTTAAATGGTTCAGGATTGTCTGAAATAAAAGATGTTCTATCAACCTCAGATAATATTATTTAGAAGTATTTGTTAAAATTTGAAAGTAGATGAGTAATGTATAGAAATTGTTATAAAAACTGAACAAGAACCTACAAACCTCCTCCTCCTTATTTGTCTGACACAAATGTAATACAGTAGTAGTTATTCAAGTGTGGTATGATGCAAAGACTAGTTTTTATTTTAATTGCAAACCCAGCAACATATCAGCTAATTATCTGACAAATTCTAAACCATATGGATTAAATCTTGAACTACTTACTCAGGAAAATCATTGCCTGACTAAGGACATCCATACGTAGTCATATAAACTGTAGTGGGTTCTACTGTATTTTCAATGGATGGAGATATCTTTCCATGTAATTATGACATTACAAGAGGTAATCCTTTTGATAACAGAAGGTCTGAATTCTATCACCCTTATTCATATTGAGTAGGACCTTATTTCATGAGGAACAGAATTGGACACTAAATATATTATAGATATTTAGGGCCACATTCTGCTCTCACATCAATGTAACTGTTATTGTGATCACTGATCACAATGTGTGTGTGTGTGTGTGTGTGTGTGTGTGTGTGTGTGTGTGTGTGTGTGTGTGTAGTAATAAATAAT